TGCTGATGTTCAGGTGTATATCAGTATGTAGTGTCTCTACTTTAAAAGAGTCCTCTCCTGCTGATGTTCAGGTGTATATCAGTATGTAGTGTCTCTACTTTAAGAGTCCTCTCCTGCTGATGTTCAGGTGTATATCAGTATGTAGCGTCTCTACTTTAAAGAGTCCTCTCCTGCTGATGTTCAGGTGAATATCAGTATGTAGTGTCTCTACTTTAAAGAGTCATCTCTGCGGATGTTCAGGTGTATATCAGTATGTAGTGTCTCTACTTTAAAGAGTCCTCTCCTGCTGATGTTCAGGTGTATATCAGTAGTATTGGTCTCTACTTTAAAGAGTCCTCCTCCTGCTGATGTCAGGTGTATATCAGTATGTATGGTCTCTACTTTAAAGAGTCCTCTCCTGCTGATGTTCAGGTGTATATCAGTATGTAGTGTCTCTACTTTAAAGAGTCCTCTCCTGCTGATGTTCAGGTGTATATCAGTATGTAGTGTCTCTACTTTAAAGAGTCCTCTCCTGCTGATGTTCAGGGGTATATCAGTATGTAGTGTCTCTACTTTAAAGAGTCCTCTCCTGCTGATGTTCAGGTGTATATCAGTATGTAGTGTCTCTACTTTAAAGAGTCCTCTCCTGCTGATGTTCAGGTGTATATCAGTATGTAGTGTCTCTACTTTAAAGAGTCCTCTCCTGCTGATGTTCAGGTGTATATCAGTATGTAGTGTCTCTACTTTAAAGAGTCCTCTCCTGCTGATGCTCAGGTGTATATCAGTATGTAGTGTCTCTACTTTAAAGAGTCCTCTCCTGCTGATGTTCAGGTGTATATCAGCATGTAGTGTCTCTACTTTAAAGAGTCCTCTCCTGCTGATGTTCAGGTGTATATCAGTATGTAGTGTCTCTACTTTAAAGAGTCCTCTCCTGCTGATGTTCAGGTGTATATCAGTATGCAGTGTCTCTACTTTAAAGAGTCCTCTCCTGCTGATGTTCAGGTGTATATCAGTATGCAGTGTCTCTACTTTAAAGAGTCCTCTCCTGCTGATGTTCAGGTGTATATCAGTATGCAGTGTCTCTACTTTAAAGAGTCCTCTCCTGCTGATGTTCAGGTGTATATCAGTATGTAGTGTCTCTACTTTAAAGAGTCCTCTCCTGCTGATGTTCAGGTGTATATCAGTATGTAGTGTCTCTACTTTAAAGAGTCCTCTCCTGCTGATGTTCAGGTGTATATCAGTATGTAGTGTCTCTACTTTAAAGAGTCCTCTCCTGCTGATGTTCAGGTGTATATCAGTATGTAGTGTCTCTACTTTAAAGAGTCCTCTCCTGCTGATGTTCAGGTGTATATCAGTATGTAGTGTCTCCACTTTAAAGAGTCCTCTCCTGCTGATGTTCAGGTGTATATCAGTATGTAGTGTCTCTACTTTAAAGAGTCCTCTCCTGCTGATGTTCAGGTGTATATCAGTATGTAGTGTCTCTACTTTAAAGAGTCCTCTCCTGCTGATGTTCAGGTGTATATCAGTATGTAGTGTCTCTACTTTAAAGAGTCCTCTCCTGCTGATGCTCAGGTGTATATCAGTATGTAGTGTCTCTACTTTAAAGAGTCCTCTCCTGCTGATGCTCAGGTGTATATCAGTATGTAGTGTCTCTACTTTAAAGAGTCCTCTCCTGCTGATGTTCAGGTGTAGATCAGTATGTAGTGTCTCTACTTTAAAGAGTCCTCTCCTGCTGATGTTCAGGTGTATATCAGTATGTAGTATCTCTACTTTAAAGAGTTCTCTCCTGCTGATGTTCAGGTGTATATCAGTATGTAGTGTCTCTACTTTAAAGAGTCCTCTCCTGCTGATGTTCAGGTGTATATCAGTATGTAGTGTCTCTACTTTAAAGAGTCCTCTCCTGCTGATGTTCAGGTGTATATCAGTATGTAGTGTCTCTACTTTAAAGAGTCCTCTCCTGCTGATGTTCAGGTGTATATCAGTATGTAGTGTCTCTACTTTAAAGAGTCCTCTCCTGCTGATGTTCAGGTGAATATCATTATGTAGTGTCTCTACTTTAAAGAGTCCTCTCCTGCTGATGTTCAGGTGTATATCAGTATGTAGTGTCTCTACTTTAAAGAGTCCTCTCCTGCTGATGTTCAGGTGTATATCAGTATGTATGGTCTCTACTTTAAAGAGTCCTCTCCTGCTGATGTCCAGGTGTATATCATTATGTAGTGTCTCTACTTTAAAGAGTCCTCTCCTGCTGATGTTCAGGTGTATATCAGTATGTATGGTCTCTACTTTAAAGAGTTCTCTCCTGCTGATGTCCAGGTGTATATCAGTATGTAGTGTCTCTACTTTAAAGAGTCCTCTCCTGCTGATGTTCAGGTGTATATCAGTATGTAGTGTCTCTACTTTAAAGAGTCCTCTCCTGCTGATGTTCAGGTGTATATCAGTATGTAGTGTCTCTACTTTAAAGAGTCCTCTCCTGCTGATGTTCAGGTGTATATCAGTATGTAGTGTCTCTACTTTAAAGAGTCCTCTCCTGCTGATGTTCAGGTGTATATCAGTATGTAGTGTCTCTACTTTAAAGAGTCCTCTCCTGCTGATGTTCAGGTGTATATCAGTATGTAGTGTCTCTACTTTAAAGAGTCCTCTCCTGCTGATGTTCAGGTGTATATCAGTATGTAGTGTCTCTACTTTAAAGAGTCCTCTCCTGCTGATGTTCAGGTGTATATCAGTATGTAGTGTCTCTACTTTAAAGAGTCCTCTCCTGCTGATGTTCAGGTGTATATCAGTATGTAGTGTCTCTACTTTAAAGAGTCCTCTCCTGCTGATGTTCAGGTGTATATCAGTATGTAGTGTCTCTACTTTAAAGAGTCCTCTCCCTGCTGATGTTCAGGTGTATATCAGTATGTAGTGTCTCTACTTTAAAGAGTCCTCTCCTGCTGATGTTCAGGTGTATATCAGTATGTAGTGTCTCTACTTTAAAGAGTCCTCTCCTGCTGATGTTCAGGTGTATATCAGTATGTAGTGTCTCTACTTTAAAGAGTCCTCTCCTGCTGATGTTCAGGTGTATATCATATGTAGTGTCTCTACTTTAAAGAGTCCTCTCCTGCTGATGTTCAGGTGTATATCAGTATGTAGTGTCTCTACTTTAAAGAGTCCTCTCCTGCTGATGTCCAGGTGTATATCAGTATGTAGTGTCTCTACTTTAAAGAGTCCTCTCCTGCTGATGTTCAGGTGTATATCAGTATGTAGTGTCTCTACTTTAAAGAGTCCTCTCCTGCTGATGTTCAGGTGTATATCAGTATGTAGTGTCTCTACTTTAAAGAGTCCTCTCCTGCTGATGTCAGGTGTATATCAGTATGTAGTGTCTCTACTTTAAAGAGTCCTCTCCTGCTGATGTTCAGGTGTATATCAGTATGTAGTGTCTCTACTTTAAAGAGTCCTCTCCTGCTGATGTTCAGGTGTATATCAGTATGTAGTGTCTCTACTTTAAAGAGTCCTCTCCTGTGATGTTCAGGTGTATATCAGTATGTAGTGTCTCTACTTTAAAGAGTCCTCTCCTGCTGATGTTCAGGTGTATATCAGTATGTAGTGTCTCTACTTTAAAGAGTCCTCTCCTGCTGATGTTCAGGTGTATATCAGTATGTAGTGTCTCTACTTTAAAGAGTCCTCTCCTGCTGATGTTCAGGTGTATATCAGTATGTAGTGTCTCTACTTTAAAGAGTTCTCTCCTTGTTAACGTATCTGCTTCTATTGACCCTCAGAGTAGTCGCCGCTGATAACCCTTACACAGACCCTCTTTCACGCTATATGATATTCAGGTCGTCTCGTCTTATCTTACAGACATCCTATCTTTTTATGAGTTTGACCGTAGGAGCTTTGTATTGCCGACATCAAGCATCATAAAGTCAAAGTCAAAGTACGAAGGTGACCAACGACGCTGATTAACTGAGAGCTCCTTATGGCTTAGATTTCACATCAAGTGCAATAACACAAAGAAGCGTCTAAATGCATAACATCCAATAATATGTCACAGAAAGAGAAAAATAAATAAAAACAATGAAACTAATAACTTATTAATTAATTAGTTTGTTTGACATTTATTTTTATTCTATTAATTTGCAATTTATTATATATTTTTATATTCTTTTATGCACTTTATATATTAGACTTTTTCCCCTTTGGTCTTTTTTTAATTATTTAACATATTTATGAAAACATGCATGTATTTATAATATTGGCAGCTTTTGTCCTCCATACGTGTAGTTCAGATCAATATGAGGTCAAACAGCTGACCGTTAAAGCCTATCCACAAGCTCTCTCCTCTCTCCTCTCTCCTCGCTCCTCTCTCCCTCCTCGCTCCTCTCTCCTCTCTCCCTCCTCGCTCCTCTCTCCTCTCTCGCTCCTCTCTCTCTCCTCGCTCCTCTCTCCTCTCTCCTCGCTCCTCCCTCGCTCCTCTCTCTCTCTCTCTCTCTCTCCTCGCTCCTCTCTCTCTCGCTCCTCTCTCCTCTCTCGCTCCTCTCTCCTCTCTCCTCTCTCCTCCCTCGCTCCTCTCTCGCTCCTCTCTCCTCTCTCCTCTCTCGCTCCTCAACACACTCTCCATTTTCAAACCACGTCTCTTCACACTGGCGTGTCCCCCCTAATCACATGACACGTCCTCTGCTCTTATTGGTTGTATGTGACCTGCTCTATCGAAATCAGTCGCATGGACTCGAAGACACATTGTGAGTTGTATACACTGCTGGAAAGAGGAGATTCATAGCTTTCCAATGATATCAGGATTTTTGTTGTTCTCCAAATATTAAGCAAATGATGTCTCATTATATAACGAGAGTCACTTTGAAAGAAAGTCTGATTGATTAGCGGAGAAAATATCAAAATACTACGGAGGGAAAATATTTTCGTTTGGATTACTGGTCTGGGGGAAGCTCGTGTGTGTGTGTGTGTGTGTGTGTGTGTGTGTGTGTGTGTGTGTGTGTGTGTGTGTGTGTGTGTGTGTAATTTTGCATTTGTGTGTATTGTGTTTGTTTCCCGGGGAAAACTCTCAGGAGAAACACCGGCTGTTGTTACGCCTGCTGATGTTAAGTTACTCCGTTCTCCGCTTGTAATTATGCCGAAGCTTCAAAGCTGTATTTATCATCTGAAGTTTAATATTCTGAAAGCCTTTGTTTATTTGAAATCAGATGAAAACAAACTGTAACGGACCCTGCGGTGTTATCTATGATTACTAAACGCCTTACATTCATCATGTCAGCGGAGGGAGGGGGGGCGGCGTGCGGAACAGCCGAGTGAAAGCTGTCTTCTTCCCTTCACAAGCTTCTAACATGTATTTATCGTGAGATGTTGGAAATAAAAGCTTCACATTCTGAAAGCCAAGACTTTGTTTAAAATCAAACAAAACACCCGAACCCCGAAAACTATTTTTTTTACGCAAATCCACGTTTATTTTGAAATGAGCCGTTGGGACTTCCGCCTGATTTCCATAGAGCGGGTCACATGCTGCCTTTCTGTTCTGCTGGGGTTTTGTTTGTGTTTCTTGAGTAAACTGACAGCAGACATCCAGCTGATGAACACGTACCATCATCACAGGAAATACAGGTAGACATGCAGAGGGACAGAAAGCTCACCTGCTTCAGAACTTCTACAGACACTAAACAAAAAATGAAATCTATGGCTAAATCCCTCCGCTCCAGCAGGAAGTCTTTGTCCCGATGCAGCTCGTCTCTGCAGGGGGGAGGGAGGAGTTAGAGACATCATACATCTGCAGGGGGGGGGGGGGGGGGGGGGGGGGAGAGCATGCATCATGGTGTCTCACCCCTTGGACTTGGTGCTGGACCTGGGTCTGTACTCGTAGGACTCGTCCTCCGTGCCGCTCTGCCTCCTGTACCAGTCGAACAGAGTCCTGAGCAGAGAGGGCAGGCAGTGCTCTGCTATGGAGCTCATAGAGCTGATTAACTGCAACAACAACAACAACAACAACAACACGTTAGACATCAAACCAAACACTGGTGGCCGATTTTTATTGTACAAAACTTGGGGATTCTTCAAAAGCCTTCATAGGTTAGCAATTTTTTTTTTCTTTGTGATAATTTTATAAATCTGATCAGAGCGGAGGTTTTCTCACCGATCAGCAAATAGAGATATTATTATAATCAGGAGTGTGATGTGGACCCTACAGAGAGTGAGCTCGACTGTTGGACACGTCGAGGTACTTTTACTGCAGTATTTCTCTAGTTTTTATCCTTTAAAACTCAAGTATACTTTACTTTGTAACTAATACAATTACCCAACAGCTTTGTTCATGTTTCAAATTCCAGCTTTCAGCCCCTTTCTTTGACAGTTAAACAAATACATCTTCATTTAATATTGATGTTTGTGACACTTTTTAAACACCAGACACACACTACATAACTGCAAAATGCATTCAGTAAGTTATTTAAAAGATAGACTTAAATCTATCCCGAAGTAAGTAAGATTTTAAATGCAGGACTTTTATACAGTGATAGCTGTGTAGTATTTACACAGTGAGGTATTATAGCTGTGTAGTATTTACACAGTGAGGTATTATAGCTGTGTAGTATTTACACAGTGAGGTATTATAGCTGTGTAGTATTTACACAGTGAGGTATTATAGCTGTGTAGTATTTACACAGTGAGGTATTATAGCTGTGTAGTATTTACACAGTGAGGTATTATAGCTGTGTAGTATTTACACAGTGAGGTATTATAGCTGTGTAGTATTTACACAGTGAGGTATTATAGCTGTGTAGTGTTTACACAGTGAGGTATTATAGCTGTGTAGTATTTACACAGTGAGGTATTATAGCCGTGTAGTGTTTACACAGTGAGGTATTATAGCCGTGTAGTGTTTACACAGTGAGGTATTATAGCCGTGTAGTGTTTACACAGTGAGGTATTATAGCCGTGTAGTGTTTACACAGTGAGGTATTATAGCCGTGTAGTGTTTACACAGTGAGGTATTATAGCCGTGTAGTGTTTACACAGTGAGGTATTATAGCCGTGTAGTATTTACACAGTGAGGTATTATAAGCTGTGTAGTATTTACACAGTGAGGTATTATAGCTGTGTAGTATTTACACAGTGAGGTATTATAGCTGTGTAGTATTTACACAGTGAGGTATTATAGCTGTGTAGTATTTACACAGTGAGGTATTATAGCTGTGTAGTATTTACACAGTGAGGTATTATAGCTGTGTAGTATTTACACAGTGAGGTATTATAGCTGTGTAGTGTTTACACAGTGAGGTATTATAGCTGTGTAGTATTTACACAGTGAGGTATTATAGCTGTGTAGTATTTACACAGTGAGGTATTATAGCTGTGTAGTATTTACACAGTGAGGTATTATAGCTGTGTAGTATTTACACAGTGAGGTATTATAGCTGTGTAGTATTACACAGTGAGGTATTATAGCTGTGTAGTGTTTACACAGTGAGGTATTATAGCTGTGTAGATTTACACAGTGAGGTATTATGGTATTATGCTGTGTAGTATTTACACAGTGAGGTATTATAGCTGTGTAGTATTTACCACAGTGAGGTATTATAGCTGTGTAGTAGTTACACAGTGAGGGATTATAGCTGTGTAGTATTTACACAGTGAGGTATTATAGCTGTGTAGTATTTACACAGTGAGGTATTATAGCTGTGTAGTATTACACAGTGAGGGTATTATAGCCGTGTAGTGTTTACACAGTGATGGTATTATAGCTGTGTAGTATTTACACAGTGAGGTATTATAGCTGTGTAGTATTTACACAGTGAGGTATTATAGCTGTGTAGTATTTACACAGTGAGGTATTATAGCTGTGTAGTATTTACACAGTGAGGTATTATAGCTGTGTAGTGTTATTATCAAACCTTCCTTTAACCAGGTGAGTTACGTTGAGATAACATAATACATTTTCCACGGGAGCCGTTCACAAGTTAGAAGCAGCTGTTTTTTAAAGTGCACACATTTCAAATGTAATATATATAAAACGTGACACAGAGCAGTAAATCCTGTTCCTAACGAGTCAACACAGAAACCAGACATCAGCACTCTGATACCTCAAGATCAGAGAGGAAACGAGGCGGTCAGTCAGTGTGTGTGTGTGTGTGTGTGTGTGTGTGTGTGTGTGTGTGTGTGTGTGTGTGTGTATGTGTGTGTGTGTGTGTGTGTGTGTGTGAGATGATGGAGAGTTATGAAGCTGCTCTGCCCTGATGGCGCCGTGCAGACGCTGCTGATTTACTGCTGAGGATGACACAGCGTTTCTCTCTCTCCCTCTCTCTCTCTCTCTCTCCCCCTTCCTCTCTCTCTCCCCCTTCCTCCCTCTCAGGTGGGGGGGGGGGGGGTTGGATCTATACAGTGTTCTGCTGGCTGCACAAAGTGTTCTGCAGCTCCTTGTCTCCGTGCCCTGCAGCACACGGGACACTTCAGAGCTAAAACTTCACTTTCTGTCGTCTCTGATTATTTTTTAATAATATCTTTTTAATTGAATTAAATAAACCTGGTATTAAAAATAGGATTCTTTCATTTAAATGTATTTTATTTTAATGTTATCTTTCGAGTAATAAAGAGAGAAACATTTCTTAAATCTTGTTTTGTGAAATCAAAGAAATTGTATAAATTACATTTTTGGGAGAAATCTCGTCGACTTTTCTGAAAAAATGACGAGATTTCTCCAAAAACCCAAAAAATAATATACAAATAAAACAAGAAAATGTTAAATGAAAGAATCCTATTTGTAATAAAGCGTTTATTGAATTACATTTTAAAATATTATTTAATTTGATAATAAAAAGAGAAAATATGTTTTTATATTTTAGCTTGAGAAATAAATACAGGAAACGTTCCTTCTTTAATATAAGCTGATAAACAGTGGTTTGGTGATTCTCCGTATCGTTGGGAGTCGACTGTATTGTTAGGTCAACATCATTTATCACTGCATGCATCTGGAATACTTCAAATGAAAAAGCATCTGGTGCTCTTCAATAACATTGAAGAGGGTGCTCGTTAAACAATTGAATACTAAAGTTTGAATGTTTGCAATGTGTTTGATCTCCGATCTGTTGAGAAGGTTCTTAGGGTTCCTCATGACACCCAGTGTAATGTTATATAATGCATCGTTCTTTGCCATACCACTCTAATGTCACCAGTGGATACACGGAGTGTTCTTCAAAGACAGGCTTGGGACCAAAAGTGATCCATGATCCCAGATTGATGGCCTTATTGACCAACATTACAGTCACATAACTTTCTCAGTGAGCACCTGGAGTCAGTGTTTGGTACTCCGACTTCTGGCTCCACTCAAAGTTATTTGATGAAGCCCTCTGTATCGTGAACGTCAACGGGGGGGGGGGCTAGTGGAGTACTTCGTGACCACAGAGTGTGAACGTTGTGATCAGCTGTTTTAGCACAGTTCTCCAGTGAAGGGGGGGGGGGGGGGGGGGAGTCTCCCTCCGCAGCCGGTTGGCGTAGTTTTGGCACAGTTCCGTTGTCCAGACCGACGTTAACAGCAGCCCTGTCTGTGCACACGGAGACCGACTCTGTCGTCCGGTGATCTAACCGCCTTCTGGAAAAGCTTCACAAGTACGTCGGTACGCAAATGCGCTTTGTGACACAAGTGACGGTACGCATTTCAGATTGTTCTGCGTACCTGTTATGTGCACCCCTGTGTATAGTGACCTATCTAATGTGTAAACCCACATGTACTCAGTTCAGGTCCCCGACTCATCTAGGGAGCCCAGAACTACACCGATAACAGTCATTCATTATGCTTTGGCTCCAAATTGTGATTGCACATCGTTCTCTACGGGTAGCAAGGGGGAAAGCTTACTTTTGAGAGTCTTGAAGCGATACAGGAGAACTGGTGATCACTGTGGTTTTACTTTGTGTCAAGCAGCAAGAAAAGCTTCAGAGATAAAACTCCACTTTCTGTCGTCTCACTATTTTTATTTGTAAAATATATTTTTTCTTTCTCCCAAAAATGTTCTTTATTTCTAAAAAGAGGATAAATACAAAAATGTAATTAAAGTATCCTATTTGTAATACAGGGTTTATTAAATTACAATAAAACAAATATTATTTAATTTGATAATAAAAAGAGAAAACATGTTTTTAATATTTTTAGCTTGAGAAATAAATATAGGAAACGTTCTTTATTTAATATAAGCTGTTAAAAAAGTTGCTTCAGGAATCCCCCTAAAAACTGACATTGCATTCGTTGTGCTTTTATTTGCTTATAATGCTTAATAATAATACATTTCATTTATATAGCGCTTCTCATCTGCCAAGACAAATCTCGAAGCCCTTAATGTGTGCATATGTTTAAATGTGTGTTGATTGTGTATAAATGTATATACATAAATGTATATACATATTTGTATATATATTTGTATTCCTCAGAATGTGGGAAACAGTATTTCGATCTCGTCTGAACACACAAACTTAAAAGATTGACAATAAAGTTGACTTTGATTTTTTTCCCTGCGAGACACATGGTGATTTGAAAAGGTACACACAATTCATCACTTCAAGTATTTGTAATATTTCTAATTAAGACGCATCAATCTGTGAACATTCCATCATCAAACATCACGTCCAGGTTCAGACTCTGAGCTGCAGACTGAGTCTCAACGCACGATGTTGGTGAGAGGGAGAAAGTCAGATGAGGTTCCATCGTTCACTGACCTGATCAAACTGAGCGTCTTCCCCTCTCTGCAGCGAGCGGGACAGAGGCTTCTCCTGGGGGGGGGACAGATAACATGTTAGAGCTGTGAACACTGAGGGTCAGAGAGAAGGCTGCACTGTGTTCATGAGGAGGAACAGGAGCTGGAAGGGATGAGGTTAGTTCATAAAGCCGTTATGGTCACTATGGATCGTCTGCGTGTTCTAGAGTCACGGTTAGGGGTTTAAAATCAGAGATATTGAATAAAGTCCATCCCAGTTCCTCAGAGTCCGAGGCGATGAGTTCAAATGTCCAAAGATATTGCGCTTCGAGGACTTCTTGAGTTTGTATCTTCATGTTTAATTGCATTTATTGTAATTCTCTAGATCAGGGGGGTCAAACTCAATTTCATCTCAGCTTTATGGCTGCACTCAAAGGGCCGGTTGTAACTTTAAGACTATATACAAATATAACATAATGTATATATTATATCATTGCCTCTGCATTGGATGATTATCAGGTAGGGTAATAACTTCATCATTAACTTCGTCTGAAAGCAGAAGTCTGGGGAAAATAATTGCAAGTCTCTTCAGTGTCACAAAATGAGATGCATTGTGGGACATGTAGTTTATGGGCAACGTGCTTCTGTAAAGTGGCATGTAACCGTATAATAAACGTGTTATATTCTTTGCAAGCTCTTGCGGGCCATACAAAAATGAAGTCTTTAGTTTGACACCCCTCCTTTAGATGTATCAAGCCTCATCTAACTGCAGTGAAATGTAGAGGCAGTGACCCATTGACATCAGGCCGGTAGAAACTCTGCAGATCGTCCGTCGCAAACTGAAAACGCATCTATTTCGACTGTAACTTGGCAATGAAGTTATTGATTGAAGTAAGAAGCACTTTTTGAGTTAGCGTAGGCCTCGTTACTAACTCACCAGCTCTTAATATGGAACGACTCGTTGAAGTGAATATTTCTACCCTTTCCTTGTTGTTCAGAGTCTCTATGGTTCTCTCACTTGTAAGTCGCTCTGCGTAAAGGCTCAATGAAATGCTTTCACTCACCAGCGGCTCGGCCATCACCATATCGATCTTCTTCTCCGCCAGCACGGCGAACTCGGCGAACAGACTCTTGATGACGAACTCTCCGGGCTTCAGCTCGGGGTCGATGGTGATGCTCGACATGGCGGCTGTGCTGCTGTGTTTCTCCCAGAGGAGGGGGGGCACCGAGGGGGGGGGGCGCCGTCTATTCACACTGCTGACGGGGGCAGAGGCTAAAGAGAGAGGGGGGAGAGACAGGAAGTTAGATCACACTGAACACACTCAAACTGTAACTGTGTTATTATGAAGACAAGATCAATGTTTAAAGTCATAAGCAAAGTAACGTAAAGATTAATTACAATTTAAAAATGGATATCGCCCTTCCCTTTTATTCCCATAGCTATCCTCTCTTTCATATCAGAATAGATACATCTCAGTAACTCTTCACTCACATTGAAACATTAAGTCACATGTTCATGTTTTAGTGTGTGTCAGTGTGTGTCAGTGTGTGTGTCAGAGTGTGTGTCAGTGTGTGTCAGTGTGTGTCAGTGTGTGTGTCAGAGTGTGTCAGTGTGTGTCAGTGTGTGTCAGAGTGTGTGTCAGAGTGTGTCAGTGTGTGTCAGTGTGTGTCAGTGTGTGTCAGAGTGTGTCAGAGTGTGTCAGTGTGTGTCAGTGTGTGTCAGTGTGTGTCAGTGTGTGTCAGTGTGTGTGTCAGTGTGTGTGTCAGTGTGTGTGTCAGAGTGTGTCAGTGTGTGTCAGAGTGTGTCAGTGTGTGTCAGTGTGTGTCAGAGTGTGTCAGTGTGTGTGTCAGAGTGTGTCAGAGTGTGTCAGAGTGTGTCAGAGTGTGGCAGTGTGTGTCAGTGTGTGTCAGTGTGTGTCAGAGTGTGGCAGTGTGTAGTCAGTGTGTGTCAGTGTGTGTCAGTGTGTGTCAGTGTGTGTCAGTGTGTGTGTCAGTGTGTGTGTCAGTGTGTGTCAGTGTGTGTGTCAGTGTGTGTCAGTGTGTGTCAGAGTGTGTCAGTGTGTGTCAGTGTGTGTCAGAGTGTGTCAGAGTGTGTCAGAGTGTGTCAGTGTGTGTCAGAGTGTGTCAGTGTGTGTCAGAGTGTGTGTCAGAGTGTGTGTCAGAGTGTGTGTCAGAGTGTGTGTCAGTGTGTGTCAGAGTGTGTCAGTGTGTGTCAGTGTGTGTCAGAGTGTGTCAGTGTGTGTCAGTGTGTGTCAGAGTGTGTCAGAGTGTGTCAGTGTGTGTCAGAGTGTGTCAGAGTGTGTCAGTGTGTGTCAGTGTGTGTGTCAGTGTGTGTGTCAGAGTGTGTGTCAGAGTGTGTGTCAGAGTGTGTGTCAGAGTGTGTGTCAGAGTGTGTCAGTGTGTGTCAGTGTGTGTCTGTGTGTCAGTGTGTGTCAGAGTGTGTCAGTGTGTGTCAGAGTGTGTGTCAGTGTGTGTCAGTGTGTGTCAGTGTGTGTCAGTGTGTGTCAGTGTGTGTCAGTGTGTGTCTGTGTGTCAGTGTGTGTCAGAGTGTGTCAGTGTGTGTCAGTGTGTGTGTCAGTGTGTGTGTCAGAGTGTGTGTCAGAGTGTGTGTCAGAGTGTGTGTCAGAGTGTGTCAGTGTGTGTCAGTGTGTGTGTCAGTGTGTGTGTCAGTGTGTGTGTCAGTGTGTGTGTCAGTGTGTGTCAGAGTGTGTGGTCAGAGTGTGTGTCAGAGTGTGTGTCAGAGTGTGTGTCAGAGTGTGTGTCAGTGTGTGTCAGTGTGTGTCAGTGTGTGTCAGTGTGTGTCAGTGTCAGTGTGTGTCAGTGTGTGTCAGTGTGTGTCAGTGTGTGTCAGAGTGTGTCAGTGTGTGTCAGTGTGTGTCAGTGTGTGTCAGTGTGTGTCAGTGTGTGTCAGTGTGTGTCAGAGTGTGTCAGTGTGTGTCAGTGTGTGTCAGTGTGTGTCAGTGTGTGTGTCAGTGTGTGTGTCAGTGTGTGTCAGTGTGTGTCAGTGTGTGTCAGTGTGTGTGTCAGTGTGTGTGTCAGTGTGTGTCAGTGTGTGTCAGTGTGTGTCAGTGTGTGTCAGTGTGTGTCAGTGTGTGTGTCAGTGTGTGTGTCAGTGTGTGTGTCAGTGTGTGTGTCAGTGTGTGTGTGTCAGTGTGTGTGTCAGTGTGTGTCAGTGTGTGTCAGTGTGTGTCAGTGTGTGTGTCAGTGTGTGTCAGGGCTGTCCCGAATACCACTTTTCGGGCTCCGGATATTCGGTAGTAATCAGCAGCGAACTGCTTCGACGCGTGTATTTCGGTTTATTCACGGCATTCAGTTTGTTGTTCTACGGTGTTGTTGTTTATAGTTATTTGTTGATGTAACCCAGTTTGTGTTCTTTGAAGTAGAAAAGGATATCGCATCGTGTTTGTTACTTTCGTTGCAGTTGTATCTCAAGTGTAATTTAGCTTGGCTTCCTATTTATGGACATGCTTTTATTTTGAAGTAGAGTTAGCGCTGTTGACAGGAAGTTGTTGTTGCTATGGAAACAACGTGACGGAGATTAATGGAGAAAAAGTAATATCTACATATAAAGACGGAGAAAGTAAACGATAACGTTTATGGTTAAGTGTCACACACCCCCCCCCCCCGAAGAGGCTCGAGCTCTTATGTTGATACTGGAGATTTCAATAAATTCCAACAAAAACAAACGAATATCCGAATAACGAAATTGAAACCCGAATAGTACTCCAACGAACGAATATTCGGGGACAGCCCTTGTCTGTCTGTCTGTCTGTGATATTGAATGGGACCCTCTTCGTACAGGATGACTCTAGATGGATCATCTCCGCAGCACGAAGGAGAAATAGTAGGCTTATATATTAAATAAAAATAAAAGTATTGAAGGAGCGTTAACGAATATAGCATCCGAGCGTATTTTGCACGTTAGTAGTGCACAACAGTTTTTAAATCAACAGGAAGTGGTGAATCATCACGTCAGTGCACGTAGTATTTCTAGGATCCATCACAGCACCACTTCATAAAGTCCCACATCCTGACGAGCCTCACAGCCATTACACCGGCCGCCTCGTCAAATGAGCAGCCCCTTAGGAACTTATAATAACAAAGTAAATGGTCTGTACTTCTCGACAGGGATCGAGTCTATGGATCGAACCAGCAAACTACTGGTTTAAAGACGACGCACTCCCTCACAGCTAGGGCTGAACGATTAATCGATTTTAAATCGAAATCTCGATTTGAAATGATGCAATTAAAAATCACAAAGCCTGCGATTTCTTTTACATTTTTGTTGTTCTTCTTGTGAGTCAGTCCTCCACACCAATCAGAAGTGCTGTGCTCCACATTGTTAACCAATCAGAAGCGGCCCATGATAGCAGGTGATAGACAGATTGATCCAATCACCTGCCAAGTATCTCTGAAAGTGCCCGCCCTTTCCAGATGGCTTCCAATGGAGCTTCAGATGGTTTGGTGAAGCATCTGAGTCAGGTTAGTGATGCTCCATCACGTGTTTCTATCACAGGGAGAATCTCAAACTGAAGCTCGACTTTAAAGCAACGCAAGTTTCATGTAACTTTAGTTATTTCACTCGTAGCTCGGGCTGCGGGGCGCTAGAGACGGGAGCCCGTTGATACGACCTTCCTAGCCGGAGATATGGCCGCATTTTACAATAAACTTCCGTTGGGCCGCTAAAAAACAAATATCGCAAATCGAATCTCAATCTCTGTCTTACATTACCCAAACGGGGCCGCCCTAATCCCAGCCACGGTCGTGTTGTGAGTTATGAGGAAAGTGAAACTGATCCTGCGTCAGGATTTAAAAACTGGAGCTTTGCACATTTACATCCAATTCAAATATGTTATGCAAATATGAAAGTGTTCAGGGAGTCAGAGGAGAACACACGTCCAATCACATACAGGTGTAATGTGTTCGACTCCTTATACTTTTAAATACTAAATCCAGTCCTCAAATCATCAGAGACAGAAATAAGGTATAATTTATTCATCTAAAAATCCCAAACTGTACAAAGAGGGTGTGTGTGTTCCTGTGTGTGTCCGTGTGTGTGTTCATGTGTGTGTGTGTGTGTGTGTGTGTGTGTGTGTGTGTGTGTGTGTGTGTGCCTGTGTGTGTGTGTGTTCGTGTGTGTGTGTCCGTGTGTGTGTTCCGTGTGTGTTCCTGTGTGTGTGTGTGTGTGTGTGCGTGCGTGCGTGCGTGTGTGTCCATGAGCACAGAGAGCCTTTCAGAGTTCCCTCTTTGTTTACTGTGCTGCACCAACACCCCCGATGATGTCAGATAGCCAGCTCCTCTCAGCCAATCAGAACGCAGCGCACTCCCACCCACACCCTCCCCCCCCCCAACACTTGACTCTCACAACAACAACAAGAAGAAACAAATAAACAAGAAATGCTTCGATCTGATTGGCCGAGTGTAGTTAATAAAATTACAGCAATAAAATGTAAAAAACCATAAAAGTCAATAAAATAAATGAACACAAAGGATTACAAATATGGAAAAAGAATATGTCAAGTTTAAAAAAACACTTAGTGTATTTTATCTTATTGATGAATTATCAAAACATTAAATAAAAGGATTTATAAACATATGATAACTGCCATGATAACTTAGTGCGGGGAAACACTGATGAAGCTCGGGTCGCTTTGGTCATATGTAAAAAGCTCAACTGGTATTTCGAGTTATTCTGGGCTGAATCTGGAGCAAGCTGTGTTGGCTGTGGTTACAAAATGCAAAACAGTCAACGATAAGTTTAAGACAAGGAAAAGGAGACATGCGGGGAAACTGGTTTCCTCCGTATTAAATCTCTACTTATGCTGTATGTGCGTCTGACAATAAAGCCTTTGAATCTGTGACATAATGAACAGGTTTGAGTCTAAATGCTAAACCGTAAACAAGTCTCAGATCAGCGGAGGCTTGCGATTGGTTCAAGCCGTCACATGCTCGCCCCTGTCATCATTCACGCAGAACTACAGGCGATGTTCTCGAAGTATGACAAGGTGTTGAGGCGGGAACAGAGTTATTAAATGTCTCTGCTACAGATGACTCCATGCTGTGAGTCGGCAGCTCCCACAGAGAGAAGACCTGACTGCAGAATAATACAATGTTTGTTGTGAGAGCAGGATTACACAACCTCAGACTCCACCTACTCACAGCTAGGGTGAAACGCCCGCTCACTTCCTCTGTAAGGACAACACACACACACACACACACACACACATCCACACACTGTAGGAATGCAGGTCCGAGAGTGTGTAAGTCACTTTT